GAAGGAAAAGGGGGAGGAGGAATAAGAGAGGGAAAGTAGAGTAGGAGAGAGATCAATGGGAGTATAAAGAAGGTATAAATACTTTGTGTAATATTGCTCTGGAACTGACCTAACCTGAGCATTCTCTCATTCATTCCTTCATTTCCACAATGTTACTATGCGTGTACTATGAATCAGAAGCTTTGTTAGTTGTTGTTCACTTCAGGGTATGGAAGGAAAGAAGTAAAACAGATATTCATATTAAGATGTATGAGGTGATGGGTAGAAATATTGCTATTAAAAATTTTTTCAAATGTTGGAGATCACACTACACAGAATTCTTATGATAAATAAATCAAGTGAATATTAAGTGAAAGCTTTCAGTTTTCTGACTTAAGCAGTGATTAACTCAAGGCTAAGGTAAAGCAGGTGTCAAAAAATAATTCCCTGAAAAGCATGCAACTATGTTTCAATGGATAAAAGAAACAAACAACTAGGCTAAATTGTTACTCCATCTTTTCCTTTCCACTCTCCTTGGTTTAATAGTCTCCTAAAAACGTCCACCAGTGAATCATCAGACTTTTCTCAAAAAAAAAAAAGAATTCTATCAAGAAAGTATAAAATTGAGTTCAGTGCCTCACAAAGATGTTGTAGACAACCAGGCTTTTCTCCGGGGGTTGTTTAAATAAGCAAATCAAAGTGGGATGCAGGGGGCTCAGATACAGCTCTCAGCATGGGTTTGTACAGATACGCATTTTTTGTATAGGATTTCTAGCCTAGCTATCATAAGGATAAATTCACACACACACACACACACACACACACACACACACACACACACCAGAAACAAGAAAGTCTATCTATTCAGTGACAGGCCAAGGCATTGGAAGGATATTTAACAAATTAGCTTTCCTATTTAGTAATGTCACATAGTCTCATACCATCATCTGTGAAGCTTCTTCCTGAAGCTTTTTAAAGAGACTTAATCTGCACTGGTACTCATCACCATTTAACAGTGCTGTCTGCTATTCAACTTCAAACTTTAACTTTTTAAGAGGGAGAACAGCTATTTTCAAATAAAAACTGTTGTTACCCATGGGGTGGCAGAAATTGCTGGCTGGTCATCTGAGGTGTCACTTATTAAACAGATGCTCACAGTTGATCTATTTTTCAATTCATGTTTATGTTAGTTGCGGGGACTTAAACCAGAGTGAGGTTAGTCTTGATTCCTATCTATACCAGAACCAAGGTGTGTCTTAGTCCCTGGACATTCACCATTTAAGGTATTACTGTCCCTCGTCCTTTTGCTTTATTCCATCTAAATGAAAGAAAGCTACTTAGGAGCATTGGAATGCATTTCACTTTCCCTTTGGTTGAGATGTAATATCTAACACCTCAGACTATAATCAGAACACAGGATAGAACCATGCCAAGGTAGCTTATACAATAACAACAGATAACCACACAGAGTGAAGGTGGCAAGAGCCATGAGCATTTCTCCTTCTTCTCCAACATGAACTCCCCTACGATGCAATGTGGGTACACTGCAAGTAAGGGGAACATGAAATGACAAGTAGATTATAAATCTGAAGAATAAGGTTTCTTGGGGTTCATGGAGTCTGGTCCAAAACTACATCTCTACTGGGCACCAGTGGCTCTTCTTATAATCTTAGCTACCAGGAAGCTGAAACCTTAAGATCATGATCAATCAAAAGTCCATTTTTGTGTATGAGATGTACATGTAAGAGGGAATGTGATTCCTACAATAGTTGGCAATGTGAGGAGTTGTTAACTCACACATGATGGCTCTGAGAATAAAGTTGATGGAAAAGCTAAGGGGAAAAAAAGATCATGGTTGGAGCCAGCCTGATCCACAAATCTGTGAGGCTCTTATCACCATTTAACCATTTTCAAAAAGGCAGAAATGAAGACAAGATTCAAGTGGTAGAGCAATAGCCCTTAGCAAAAAAAAGCCAAGTGAGAGCATGAGGCCTGATAATAATAGAAACACAAACATATGCATACACAACTTTGTTCCTCTGAAACAAATTCAAGGCTACCCAGTGCTAATTCTCTGTATTTCTACATTTCCAAGTCAGCACAATACTCTGTCTTTTTTTACATTAAGTTATTTGCTCCAAGGCAACTTCCAAAGAATTTCTTTGCTATATCCCTTTCTTGGAATATTTTCCTCTAATTACATGAGTGGCTATTCAGTCTTTCGATAATAACCCTATGTTCAAATGAGGCCTCTTTAGCAAGCTTATTCAATTCTGTAACTAATGCTGAGGCTTATCACACCATTCCAGAAATTTCTGCCTATACCTTGCTCTTGTAATTTATTTTTTCTGTAACTCAAGCATATAGTTCCTTTATTATTATTATTTTGATTTGATCATCTACATTGAAGTTCAAGGCCCAATGAAGGAGGGACACGTGCATATAATGTCTCTTCTGCCTCTCAAATACACACTTGACACTGTGCTTGGCACAAAGTGAGAGCTCAGTGTGTATTTATGAAATGAGTAGACACATCTCCAATCGCAATGAGATAGAGTAATAGCAAATATGTTGTAAGATAGTTTAATAAAAGTGTTATGAAAAAATCACAGGAACTTACATTTTCCTGCTGGGGAGAAACAGGGTGAATAAAATTGGTCAATATATATGAATTACACATTAATTCTAGGAAAGGAGATATAGGCATTTTGTTACATAATAGATTTACTTCCATTTCCTTTGTTCAGGATGAATTTTTTTTTTTTTTTGAGTCCGGTTGTGGGCCTGGCACTGTCCCTCAGCTCTTCAGCTCAAGGCTAGCACTCTACCACTTGAGCCACAGCGCCACTTCCGGCTTTTTTCTTTTTGCGTATGTGGTGCTGAGGAATTGAACCCAGGGCCCCATGCATGCAAGGCAAGTGCTCTACCACTGAGCCACCTTCCCAGCCCTGTTCAGGATGAATTTTCATCACCACTGTCAAAGTAGAAACAAGCAACCCTTATGCTAAATAATCCGTCTTTCTTATGGTAGAGGCCACAGCCCAGATTTCAGACAAGTAAGAATGTTAATTTTGTTGCTTTTATTTATTCATTCTTCTTCCCACAACCATGTGGAATCCTTAGTTAGTGCATCATTTTCCCTAGTATCTCAGAAACCCAGTATCTCAGAAAATTCTTCAAAACTTGTATGTCTGACAGATTTATCATTTACAAGCATTTTTATTTCCTCATTTGATTTAAATAAATGCCAAACTCAGTGGCACATTTAAATGGAATAGAATGTCAATTTAGACCCTTTCCACTCTCAAAACTGTTCCACTTGGATGACAAACTATATTATAAGTAGGGTTTATATTTAATTTATAACTATGAAAATTGTTGGTACACTGTAACTTATAATTATAAACTCAGATTTTCTATTCCTGCCTTCCTACTACCATTGAGAAAATTCTGAATTAACTTTTATAGGGGGGAAAATTCTAAATTACCCAGAATAAACAAAATTCTACCTTGTGAAATTACTATGGTTTGTGTTTCAAGAAAAGGAAGGGTTTTCTTTACAGAGGAAGCAAGTACACCTGTCAATAGCAGCAATGATCACTTTTGTAGCACTTTGTTATGCTAAGCACAGAATGTGGCATCCTCCATGCCTTGTCTTGAGCTATTCAAGCCTCTGCATTATTATTGTCACAAAACAAAATTATCTATCTTCTAAAAAGAAAAAAAATGTCATAGGAAACATGTGTATCTTGTTCAAGGTCACACAGCTGTTAAATGGAGGAGACAGAATTTTAATCCAGGTATATGAATCTTCAAAGACACAGAGATGACAAAGTTATGTCATCTCCAAGCCCCTGTTTTGATTCAAACTCAATGCTTTGAAAACATATAGTGTACACATAAGAAAGAATCAGTGGGAATGTGTGTTTCTCTGATTGTGAAGTAAAGAATGATAAGAATCTAGGTGGTCATACTGATAAAAAGAAATAAACCATCAGTGTATATAGTATGTGTTCAATCAGCACTGCTTCCAGTTGGGAGGTAAGGGATGGAGAACTAACAATCTCACCACAAAAACTGGTTTTTTAACTTATGCATCAAAAGGTCTATTATTTCCAGGTTAAGGAATGGCCAGGTTCCGCTCATCTAAAACACCTGTTGAGTGTGAAGGAAGCTGACCTTCACTCATCACTAAATGGGGAACTCGTACAAGAAACAATTTTGTCTTGTTATTTTTCTCAAATGTTAAAGGCCACAAAGAACTCTATAGAAAAACATCTATCATAAATAGACACAGTCTCAACATATATAGGAAAGGGCAGCTGTCCAGCAGGAATTACCATAAACCCATTCTTAAGAAGCCTCTGAGTAACATAGGCTCAACGTGAGCCAAGGACCTGAAGAAAATATGCTACAGGCCTTTACCAGGTGAAACACAGCCAGGCAAAATGCTAAATATAGCTATTAATAGATGGTAACCCATTTTCAAATATTCTCTGGTCCCCTAGGGACTCTGGAATAGAAACAGTGACCACAGAATAGCAGTGTGATTTGAAGACATAAGTGTGCTGCTCCTGTTAACTCTGCAACCTCAGGAATTATTTCATCTCTCTGACCCTTAATGGCCTCATTTGCAAAATAAGGCATTCTGCGTGGCTCTGGGAGTTGTTATAAGCATTAATTTTGCTATGTCAGGTAATGATAACCAATAATTACTGAGCATTTACCACATGCCAAGAACTAACTAGATGCAGTAAGTGCTGCGGGTAGATGAGTAAACAAACTGCCACTAGAAGTAAATAACATGAGGAAAGACACAGCATTAGAAAACCACAAAAACAGAAATCAGCCTCAATGCCCATGCCTTCAACCTACCATCCTATACTGCTACAAATGGACCTCTTGTACTCATCAAGATTCAACAAATATGAGTCATGATTACTTTTTTATTGTTGACATTTCAATCACCACTTCACATGAAGTTTTAGATGAAAATGTTCATATCAAAGAATGCACAATACCTGGGACATGGCTGCAGAAGTTCTTCAACAATGCAAGCCTCTTTCTCAAGAAGTTCTGGGCACTCTTGTCCACCCCCAATAGCAATGCGCTTTATATTCCGGCTTCTGCTCCTAACTCCAGGTGAGAGAGTCCCTGATCGACATGTCTTAGAGCAGGGACTCCAGGAGGACCAGTCAGAGGTTTCACAGTCCTTAGGCATGATGCAGGGCTGGACAGTCAGTGGGAAGGAGTCTTGCATACAAAGGCTGTAGGGAAAATAACAGAGACCCGGGAGCCATGATTAAATAGATGCAACAAACATGAAGTTCCTATTATGAAAGGAAAATATTTTAGTTCACATTTAAGTTTTAAAGTGAAGTATATATCAAAATTAAACTGTTTTGTTTAATGACAACTACATGAAGATAACAAAAATATAAAAAGATAGCAGATAAAATCAATGCCCAAGTTTTTTTTTGAAAAAAGAATATTTGTAAGTGTAATATATTAAAATGTGCACTCAATGGGTGCTGAAGTCCACACCTATAAAACCAACTGCTTCAGAGACTGAGGCCAAAAGATCACTGGAGATCAGGAAATGAAATCCACTTGGGCAACCTAACAAGACCCTATTACAACAAAAAAATAAAATAATATGCACTCAAAACAATGATTAACCATCATGCCCCTGTCCAAAGCATTATCAGAGATAATAGCTATCATTCTAGGCTGATTCACTTATACTGCAGCCTGCTTATACTATTTATTGACTAGCTCCCCACTATACTGCACTCCACAGAGCCTTTCTCTCAACAATCTTGTAACTTTGTATTTTATTATCTTCACTTCTCAGATAAGAAAACTTAGACTTCTGGGGGCTATGTAATTTATCTAGCATCAAACAAACCTAAATGAAAGCATTCAAGTAATCCATCCATTCTTACAAATGCTGAGCTGTTCTAAAAATTTCATATTGATAATGTTTCCACACAATGAATCTGCCTACCAATTTTTTCAGTCTGTAAATTTTGAGAAAAGTCAAGTAAAGTAAGGGTCTAATTTGGAAAGCTGATAAATAAAAGGATGAGCTAATCATGATGTCACTATAACAGCATTTATAAAGAGGGCAAGGAATCCTAGGGAGACAGAAAGAAACCACCTGGGAGGCCTGGCACTGCTGAGAAAGGACTGGCACAGCTGTAATTTTAAATACCAATAGAAGATTCTCTCTTGGGAGACAGATTAGCAGGATCCAAGTTTCCCTGGGGCCCGAGTTAAGCATTGTTAGGGCACTGTTAAACACTGCTAAAGCATCTTCATGTTAATAAGTCTTTGTTTCAAGTCTCCTTTCTAATGTTTATTTTCCCTTTAAATAAACTGAGGTGTTAAGTGTGGGAGCAATTTGTCTCCCTGAACTGTTCTTAGATCTTTCCCTAGGGCCCAGTCCATTTTGAGCCAAAGATTGCCCTCAGCACAAGCTGCCTTGAGCACTGACACTGTGAAAACTACAGGACCACCACAGCTTGCGGCAGGAGCCACAACTCCAGCTCCTGAAGCAAACAGTCTGCACTGGACTTTTCACCATCAAAGAACTTGGAAAACTCTAGAAAAGCCTTAGCAATTTCCACCAGGCCTCAGGAGAAGCACTTTCCCAGATTACACAACAGATCTGTGGCTAGTGAAAGCATAGCACTTTGCAAAAAGGACCACCATAACTGGTGATTTGAACCTCTTCGCCATGATGGGTGGCCAACACAGTCTTCTATTTATATAAAGAGAACACTATGATTGGTGCAAAGACCTTTGTATCACCCCTTTTCTGGGTGTATAAACAAACAGCTCAGAGATGTTCTCCTGTTGCTGCCCCCTGGAGTTGGTGAATTTTCTTTTTTTCTTGCTTAGTTCTCATTTTCCCATTAGTAGAGGGGTTGAGCTGGTAATGCAAAGGTGAGGCAGCAGAAGTTATGGCTGTGGTAGTAGCAGTGACATCAGAGCTGGCTCTAGCAGCCAAGGCAGCTGTTGTCCCCAGCGGTGTCAGCAGCAGCAGCCACAGTAGCAGTAGTGACGGCAGAGCCAAGCAAGTGCAGAAGCAGCAATAGAGCCAACACTGGCTTTGGAGGCAGCTAAAACCCTGAGAAAGAAGCAGTGGGTGCAGTAGCAGCTGTGATGGTGGAACAGAAGTAGCAGTAAAAAGCAATAATGGAACAAGGAGCAAGAACAGACAGCCACCGCTCTGGCACAAAGCTAAAGCTAAAGAAAGCTGGAAGGCGATAAAGAACCACATGGAAGAGAACACACCGCCCCTCCCCATTGCTGGAAGGAAGGGTTCCAGAGAGCTGGAACACTCACCACTGCTGTCAAGGACTGAGGACATCAATATCTGACACTCAAAAGCAGTAATACCTATAGTATTAAAAGGCATGGCACCCAGAATCTTTTCAGAACTGCAACAAAGGAGGTTCAAAGATAATTACAAGAACTGCCAAGGGCTTGAGATTATTGGAACTGTGTTACCTTCCTTTCCCTGATTTCTATCTTCAGGGTGGGGAGGTGGGGGGAGCAACACTGTTAATACCATGAGGATTTCTAATTTCCAGGATGTGACAAACTATATGTCTGCTGTTTATCCATCCAGTGTGTATTGTTTTTATGACAGCCTGCGCAAAAGAATTCAGAAATCTAATCAAGATTTTCATTTTCTGTATGTTTTCAGAAAATAACTTTCAATGTTCAAGTTAGGCTTTCTTCTATTCTTTATAAAAGAAGTTCTAGCTGATGCTGGTGGCTCACACCTGTAATTCTAGCTATTCTAAAGGCTGAGATCTAATGGCTGTGGTTGAAAGCCAGACCCCAAAAGGAAAAAAAAGCAGGAAAGTTTGTGAAACTGTAATCTCCAATAAAGCCATCAAAAGCCAGAAGTGGAGCTGTGGCTCAAGTGATAGAGTGCTGTCCTGGAGTAAAACAATGCAAGTTGGAGAGCTAAATCTAGAGTTCAAGCCACAGTACTTATCTGCCTTTACTCTTTTGCTCATACTTCCACACTGGTTTTCCCAGTCAAACAGAAAGCAAGTCTCCAATGGTACCAGCAGTTATGTGAAGCTACAGGTATTAAACAAGGCCTCTGCATTTTTTAATGGACATCTAATTTTCTTTTCTTTCTTTCTTTTATTTTTTCCTTGTGGAAAAAAGTACATATAACCCAAGGATTGTGTATACACTTGTTTTTAACATCATTATTTTCACTAGCCAATTTCTCTGGTTAAAATAATAGTCATAATATTGTGTCCCAGACTAATTGTACTCATTGAGATTCCATTGATCTGGAAGAAACTCTGTATGGGGAATCAGGAATAAAGGGACCCTGAATTTTTCATCACAATACACTAGTGTGACCTTAGTCTCCAGCTATGAAGTTTCATTATCTCCAGAAGAAAAAAGTCACTCATGAAATGTGCTCTGTCACCCCTACCCCCTCCAGTGTGGTAACCTTTAGAGTAAGTGCAATCACCTCCTATATGCAGCCTAGAGTGGAGATAACTGCCCACACAGAAAGGAATGGATAGAGCCATAGAAGGTGGTGTGTCTTTTTAATGAAACAGACATGTAGTGTTGATTTGTCTTTCAAACTGGAGATGCTGTGATAATTATACCTCCTTGACATTTATAGAGCATGCTGTCTTCAGTAAATTACTTCACAAAGTATTCAACTGTACAGGGAATCTTTGAAACCTAAAAAAATCACTCTGGTTTCTCATTTCTGAAAATGTAAAGAAATCTTTCCACTTAACATTTAAGGACAGAAACTCCTATAAACCAATAGTGAAATACCCGTAATTCATTATCACTTCAGCTTACCACAACTTTATGATAGTAATATTTCAAGTACACAGAAAAGTGGGTTAAATCAAACAAATGTCCCTATACCTTTCTAGAAATGACTAATATTTGATTCTGATTTTCTTAACTAATGATGAAAAGGGTAACACTTATGATCAAGATTTATTGGTATATGTTGAATGGCAACTCCTTTGTACAACTACCTAATGATAAAGATAAAAATTTTTAAAAGAAAATTTATAGCCTTACATCAACAAACAATAAATTCAAATTCAGGTGAAAATCCTAGTATCTGCTACAATCCTACTTCTATTTTTCTTTCCTCAAGTATTTCTCTCTACTCTCCTGCCTCAGCCTCCCAAGCAGGTGTAGAAGTGTGCCACCTAATTATCTTCCTCACAGTTAATTTTTTATTCCTTACTCTGTCAATTATTCAGAAATCCTGATTTCTGTTTATTTTGGTTTCCCTGTTTCATGCTAGTGAGCTCAAATTTCTGACAACTTTTGTTTTTAGGTATTAGGGTGAGCTATGACACCCAAATTGGAAGCTCTTTCTTCTCACCAAGTGTTTATTAAATGGTAGTCATTACTATTAGCCAATTATGTAAGAACCAGGCTATTTTAACAGAGCCCCACTACAGAGCTCTACTCTTCAGCTTGCCTTCTTCCCAAGACAGAGACATGTGCTATTTCTTATTTCAGGTAGATGTTAGTTTCATGGAAGTCAACTGGAGAAATAAAGTACTCCTATAAACTTTGTGGGTATTTTCATTTAACACCTATGATTACAGTTGGTGTTATATACTTACACTCTCTTCTTGGGGTTTCAGTTCAGTATGTCAGTATGTAAGTACACAACAATTTGATCAGTTACCCTTTTCATCCTTCTTTCCCATTTATCCCTATCCTGTCCATGCCCCAAATCTCCTAGTTCTATTTTCACATAAATGCACTAAGTAATTTTAGTACTATTAAACACATTTAACCTGAGTACATGAGGCTTATTGTTCCTAATCCTTCTAAGAATCTTATATTCCTCAGAAGAGAAAAGGTTGTAGTTCATTTACAAATACATGCTGACAGTTCAAAGTTTTATCATATTAAATGTCTTTCTTTTATTTCCTTTATTGTATATTTTTTGCATGTGAATCATCTCTCCTAGAGGTCACTCTGTAGCTTAAGATAGAAGTATCCCAGCTGAGTCCATGATAAGGATTCACCATTGAGAGTATGTAGCTTCCAAGTTCACCTTTTAAGATAATACAAGACCAGAATTATTCATTACTAACCTAGAAGTGGATCTCCTTACTTCTCCTCACATGTCACTAGCTATCATTCAAACAGCCACTACAGTAACTGCAAAAAAGACAGAAATATCTTTCCATGTGCCATGAAAGAGGCAAAAAAAAAAAAACCTAATGAACACATA